TAAACCTTTGCATCATTGCACCTCAGTGGAAATTGGAAAAAGAAAAAGATGGTCACACCTGAAAAGGCACTGACTAAAGCAAGGGTTGGGAAATAAATTTAGTCAGTTAATTTTACTATAAAACATTCTGATACAGTGAGACATCATAGACTTCTGCTCTTCTTAAAAACTGATTTAATGAGTAAAGACTCCCAAGGATTTCAAAAGTTTATCTGAGGAAAAGTTGAACTCCACCTTGAATGAGAGGAAAGAAGAATATTTTTTTTCTCTATATACTCTATAAAGCTACTATCACTCAGGGCTCTTGTTCAACAAGAGTGACATTCCTGGAAATTGTGGAGAGAAATGCTCTCTGCTGTCTGAATAACTGGGTCAGTTCCCCATCATGTACACTGGCCATTGACAATTTACATGAGAACATAACTCTCAGACTGAACATATGATTCAACATGTAATCTATGAAGGAAAGAATCATTAGTGCTCCTTTGTGTTGAAACCTACAGCAATGTATGGTGAAACAGAAACAGGAATGATTGATTGAAGGATAGCCTTCTCAGAGGAAGTTGAGAAACTAAGTCAACGCTCAAGAACCATAAGAGACTTCCATATGATTTTTGAATATTCTATCTCATGAAAAGAAGAGAGGAAATCATTAGAAAATAAATGCAATTTCCAAGGACACTGCAGAAGGAATGATTTAACCCCTTTAAAGACTGAGGTCTGACCAATCCCTCCTGGAACAAGTTGCAGTAGTGTCTGTGAGGTGCTTCTAATCCCCTCCTCCTAACTCCAGTCTACCTGCAACTATGGCTGGCACATTGCAGACCAGGGTTAAAAAAAAAAAAAAAAAAAAAAAAAACTGACCTGGCAAGAAAAATAACAAAGCTTCAGATCCACCTGACCTCTACACCTGCTGGGAAACAAAATGGGTCTCCTGGCTCTGCAGGCATATGTCTCAGCCTAGATAGTGGAGTTGAGTGCAGAGAATTTGTGATTTACCAGGGAGACAAGTTGCATTCAACTGAATTAGGATAAAAGTACTCACTGGTTCCATCCACAGTACAGCTGACTTTTGGCTCATGTGATGGGAACACAGAGCTTCTGACAAGTTCTTGTGTGTCACATGAATCAGGATGACCAGAGTACCGAAAATGTTTTTCATCCAGCTGGAGGTCATTCTCTTCCTCTTCCTGCAGGTCACTGCTGAGACTGCTGAGCCAGCTGAGGCAGGGAAGAACAAAAGATGAAATCATGGTGGTTTAGAAGTTACACTCTCCCAGCTGGTCCCGATTTAAAGCTGAAGGGTGGAGTCCCAAACAGGTGCCTCCCTTCAAAAATGACCCAGAAAATGATTTTCATCTCAAGGACATAGTTTAGGTGCCATGGTATGAGAGACAGACCAAGGTCCACCATTGCTCAGTGTACTGATAACAAGATAACAAGCTCAAGAGGAAGAGGGCACAGCTCTGCCTATAAGGTACAGTCACAGAAGGATCACACAATGAGAAGCATAGCAGGGGCCAAGCTTGTGCATAAAGCATGGTGAATTTTAGACACAAGTGTCTGATCAATAGTCTCTTGAATTGAAGAGTCTCAGAGATGTTTTGCCTTCTTTGCACATCCATATTATGACATGATATCATTTTTGTTCTATCTACTTTTCTTGCTATGGAATACCTGTTGATGAGCTCAGGCTAACAGTACAGAAATGATTTTTGGATCTCATCCTGAGTTTGACCTTTACAAAGGGAACATATGATTTATTTAAGATCTAGAAGTGCCCAAGGCTGCTCAGTTCTTCTTGAGCAGACTCACTCTTACAATACCATAAAGAAGACAGAGAACTTTGCTAATGGGTTCCATCATCTTGGATTGAATCAACAACTTCACTGCAATCAGCACTCCTACTGTGCCTTTAAGAAACTTTGACTACATTTGACCTCATGCTCTGTACTTTTAGGATTCCTGCACCCCTTTTGTTTTACCCATTTTTTTCTAGCCCCTGGTCATTCATTGTTACCTGAAATAAAGTGACTCTTCTTTATCATTGTCCTCATTGTCATGGTGTTCTGTAAACATATTCAGAAATGTAGAGGTCATTAAATAACTCTACTTCACTCATTCCAATACAGACACCTCCCTCAGAAAAAGACATAATTTATGTATATATAATTCAGGGAGCAACTAAGGGACTTAACCTGGCAGAACTCACATGTTGAGTTTAAAGAAATGGTCTGGGATGCTATGCTGATCCATCATGCACAACGTCTCTGACTGGGTGGATCATTATTATGGAATGCTCTTCATGTAGTTAGACAAAGTCAAAATGCATTTTGGTCTCCTGATCCCTGGATACTCGTCCAGGTTCTTCTGGATTTCACTAACTGCACCTTCCTTCCTTCCACAAAGCTCATTCCAAGATTTAGTGGCTCTGGGCCCCCTCACAATTCTCAAATAGAACCAGTTTCATTCTCTATGAAGAGGATTAAAATCCTTGAGCCTCATTTTTCTCAATACTAGGGATTTTTTTTTAAGGATCTCAAAGTTGACTTTGGCAGTGTACTAGAAGGAAATTCATATTTCAGAACTTTTCTGGTATAAACCAATATTTCCACCACCTGATTCTAGCATTTTAATGGAAGCAAAATTAACCATTTCAATGTTCTCTCTTTTTTTGTTTTTGGTACCAGCGATTGAACTTAGGAGCACATGACCACTGCACTACATCCCCAGGTCTATTTTGTATTTTATTTAGCGATAGGGTCTGAGTGGTTTACTGCCTTGCTTTTTCCTGAGGCTGGCTTTTTAAATTTTTTTTAATTTTTTTTAGTTTTAGGTGGATACACAATATCTTTATTTTTTTATTTTTTTATGGTGGCGAGAGTTGAACCCAGTGCCTCATGCATGCTAGATGACTGTCCTACCACTTGAGCCACATCCCATGCCCTCTGAGTTGGCTTTAAACCCAAGATCCTCCTGCCTCAACCTCCTGAGCAGCTGGGATTATAGGCATGTGCTTGTAATCAAAGGATCAAACATGAGCAAGAACACTGTAGGAGAGATCAGTTGTCCTAGGTTGTAAGAATAAGGTCATGCAGAGCCCTGATATGCACACACATAAATGGTACCTGTGAGTAGGTTACAGTCTCTACAACTTCCCTGCTCTTGTGAGTTCTAGGTTTACCATCATGAATTTGTCACTGGACCCTCAGAAGTATAATTAATAGGAGTGCATTTGTGTTTTAATGGGGTAGTCATGAGCTGCAGCTAGACAAAGGGAGACTTCATGCTCACCCAAGAGATCAGCACTGAAGCAGGGGGGCTGGTGGATATCTGATGATTCAGAGTGACTGGGGCAAGTGTTACAGCCCTCATTCAATACGTCCTGCAGGATTTCTTTCTCCTCCTGTGGGGCTTGTCTCAGACTGGAGGGATAAAGAGTACGATTAAATGAGAGTAGTAAATATGAGTCCCAGTTGGTCTAAATAGAGGCCTAAGGGAGTGGTCACAGAAGGGCAAGAGGGTACTCCTTTCAAAGAGAAAGAAAATGATCCTCATAGGATGTGGGCAGGGTGCACATGTCTTTACGACAGGAGATAGGAAGAGGGGCTCAACCTACTGACTAGAAAAGAGCTGAGGACAGAGACTCCACTCTCCCTGTGTGATACAACCATGAGCCACAGCATACACAGAAAATGGACTTTGTGTGTGTGTGTGTGCGCACGCACATTTGTATATGTGTGTGTGTATGTGTATTCCCCCCACCCAAGGCTATGACATTCCTGCCAAAAAGTCTTATCAACCAGAAAGAAACCAGATTTATATCTCATACTCAAAGGACCCATACAAGACAGGAGATGTAGATTCTGTGAGGTAAAAAAACATTTAGTTAGTTTGATTACTTCTAGTTGGATACAGACAGGAACCACAGAGAAAAGAAAAACACCTCCTTAAAAGATGGACTTCTTCCATGGTTGAGGAATGCAGTCATACCAGCAGCTTGTGTTTGCCTTTGCATGTGAATTGTGTGGACACTTTGTACCTCTTGGTTTGCTCAACTGGGGACCCTCCTCATATTTAACCCACCCTCTTCCAGGCTCTTAACACTCATTGTTACCTGGGAGCCAGTAATTCCTGTTCTTTTCCACTCTCCTCCTCTGCACCACTCCCTGAAATCAAATTCAGAAATGTCCAGTCAATCAGTGAGTAGTTTCTACATCACTCACTACAAACTCAATGGAGAATCATTATTCCCAGACCTTTACCAACATGGCTGTTATATGTCTGTGGATCTGATATGGTACAACAGAATACTGTTAAAAAAGGTTTGAGCTATTCTTGAGGATGAAAAGGCATTTTCATGTCTCTAGTAGAAATCAGTAACTGGGAATTAACCTATGCCCACCCTACACTTCCCTGTAAACTTAAAGTTGCTATAGTCTTTGTGTTTCATTATTCCATTGTTAGTAAACTGAAGGCAAAATAACAATATCTTTACTTCTGGAAATGATGGATTTCCTTTTGATGAAAGAAAAGACGAGAAAAAATTTTGGAGAAAATCTTTTTCTCAGAGGGGAAACAGACAATCATACCCCACTTTAGTGACCATCTGCAACTTACGATATTTTTGGAACTGGTTGGCAAGGGTATACAAGGTAGTTTGACATAAGATGAACTTTTCTTCCAGATCACGGAAATTCAGTTTGTGTTCTTGTAGTTCAGCTTGTAGTCCCCGTATGATTTCTTTAAGTTTCATCTGAGGCTCTCCGTCAAGGTTCATTTCAGCCCCCCCATCAGGGGAAGGGCTGAAGAATACTGCCATGTTTGTACAGTAAATGTACAGCCAGGACCTGCAAAGAAGAAACCCAAACATGTCATGGGTTAAAAACAAGTGAATCCAAGAGCTGGCTGCAGTGGCAAACGCCTATAATCTCAGAGGCTCAGAAGGTGAGACAGAAGGATCTAGAGTTAGAAGTCAGCTTGAGTAATGGCAAGGTGCTAAGCCACTCAGTGAGACCCTGTCTCTTAATAAAATACAAAAAAGGGCTGCATATGTGGCTCAGTGTTTGACTGCTTCTGACCCAAATATTTTTTAAAAAATAAAATAACCAGAGGAGAATTCATCAGGACTAAGGGAAGACAGCAGCTGTCATGATTCACTTACTGTTGAGAAACAAGTACTCAGCAGTCCACAACACTTGAAACTCCTTCACCTCTCAAACAAGGATTCACACACCTGAGTCTATAGCATGGACTCAAGACAGAAATGAGGAGGTAGGGCTGAGTGCGCTAGGCAACAGTCTAACAGAATCAGAAGGTAGGAGATGTCATGGAATGCGGGAGCCTCTGCCTTCCAATGGCCTCATGCTGGCTGATCTACTGGTTTCTTCAGAAGGTCACTACAGACGTAGACCGCCACTCACTGGGCAGTCTCAGTACTTGTGTACCCTCATGCCAATGTTACCAACTTTTCTTTGTTCCCTTCTCCAAACACCATATTTCACATTACTCCTAACGGTATATGTTGAGAATCCTCAAAGTAAAAATGGTTTCCCAACAAGTTAAAATTATCTACGGGACTACCCAGTGGTCACCTCATTATTTCCTTAATAATAAAGTGGATCATAAGGCTTTTCCTCAAGGGATCAATGCAAAACTGTCAACATAACATAGTCATAATGTTCTTCTCTGAATATGCAGCCATTATTTCAAAATCCACTAAAAATACAGAACAAAGAGTAAACCATGAGTGTTTGAAATTGTTTTCTGCACTCTATCAATATTATTTTGTTATACTCCATTTTTATTGTGGCCTCTTTTCTCTCACTGGGACATCTGTTGGTGTATAGGACTCTGAAGGAATTCCTCACTTATTACAAAAGTTACAATTGGCTCAGGCAATAGGAATATGGAAAGGAGAACAGAAACATGGAGGGGAGCCATGCTAAGTCTTGTGAACCCTCAACTGTGGGACGCTCATTGGAAGAAATTTTCCAGATCCCTCTTACTAAGTCCAAAGCAGATAATGTCCAGTGCTGACTCTGCTCTTCATGGCAATCTTCCCTTCACTAGGTCAGGCTACTGGTGTCTGCAATCAATGTTCTCACCTACTGAGAACCATGGCTGAATCTGAAGCACATACGTTAAGCTCTTTTCAGTAAGGATTGGATACCCTTCTTCCTAGCATGCTGCAGGGAAATGAGCCCAGTGCTTTACCTGTCCAAGCTCAGCAAATGCATTCGTTTGCTTTAACTCACTTATAATGTAAGTTCTCTATATACATGGAGATTTTACATTTTATACACATCACAGGGTAAACTGATGAGCAAAGCAGGGGAGTTAGTTTATTCTGCTTCTATCAACACAAGAGTCATAGACTCTCATCCACTTGAATATCAGAAAGCCAGGCTTTTAGCCCCACCTTCCTCCCTTTGGACTGCAAACCTGAAAATTACTTCAATTATTTACCTGCATTTGAAATGAAGTTTGAGTAAAAACAAGAGTTGAACTTTGAGGAATGACGATATTAGTTTGTTCTGAAGTGGATAGAAAATGCTGAGGTCTAGAGAAAACATCACGATAATCTTCGCAAGGAAGAACTTATGTGTCTTACTTATCCTGCCTCTTTCGCCAGCTGGCCAGAGCATACTCAGTATCTACTGATGTCATCAAAATCATCTTCAGACCTTGAGAATATGGATTTCTATGAGCCAAACTGGAGAGCAGGTGTTGGTCTGAGAAGTCATTCATCATTATGCTGGGACCTGTTGGAAACAACCAGTAGGGGGATCAACCTGACTACCAACATTTTTTGATACAGCACTGGCTACACTCACCAATGAGTCCACTATCAATTCTTTCACTTGCTGTTCACAAGAATGACATTTCTATATAAGCTAAGATTATGTTCGATCCATCTCTGTGTTCACAGTTTCCAGTGAGGCCCAAGCACTGAGGCAGGTTACACTCAATGAATGCATAAAAGTGGTTGCATACCACAGTTATTACAATGAAGTCCCTTTACAGTGTCATCTAATATGTAATTAATAAAGGATTTTTTTCTTCTTTCCTACTGTAGGTTACTTTGCTATGTAGGTAAAATAGACATAACACAGAGAATAAGAATGAGTAGAGGAAAAAAGGGAAAGATGGAAATTTCATTAATTTGAACTTACATATGGAAAGGTCATCTATTTTATTTATTCTTTTCTCCCTAACAATAATACTTGCATTGTTGTGGATATTTAGCAACTAAAAATATATATCCTCAAAACTTGACAGAGAAGCAGTAGTCTTTGAAAGCTTAAGAAAACATAGCCAATTTTTCTTCTGCATTTGCTGTCACATAATTAATATTCTCAAGAAGAGGACAAACATAAAGACAGTGGAATGAGATGGACATCATTACCATAAGTACATGTATGAAGACACAAATGGTGTGACTCTACTTTGTGTACAACCATAGATATGAAAATTTGTGCTCTATATGTGGAATATGAGTCATAATGCATTCTGCTGTCATATATAACAAATTAAAATTTAAAAAGTACAAAAAAAGAACGTGAAAGTAAAAAAAAATACTACTGTAAATCTAGGCCCCATCTAAGACTCTTCGATTTCAAGTGGCAACTTATATGACATAATTCTAGCTGAAAGTGCCAATGGTGCCAATCATTTATTAGTCTTCCTTTAACATGCATGGTTTCAGAAAGCAATGGTTCAATGATACACAGACAGATAATTATTAGAGTCCTTATGGGCAAGGAGAATATCTCTACTACAAATCTTCTACTATAATTTGCCTAGGCTTTTCCTTTTGATAAGATACACAATTCTTCCAGCATTTTTCTTCTACTAAACGTTTAATCTCATTTCAGAGCTATAACATAGATACCTCTAAAACATAGATACCTTCACTTTAGATCCACATTGGTTTACTGATAAATACAAGATGTCTGTATTCTAAGTAATATGGGAAGTACTGCCCTTTATCATGATGTCAAGTCAAAGTCAACCCATTTTTGTTAAAAAATTTTGAGGAATAAACTTCCTTTTCATGTGAGTGAAAAATCAAATTCCAAAACAGATAAAGTCTGATGAAATATGCAACATAGCAACGTAACCTCCAATTACTCTTTGAGAACATGCACTTTTATTTCTCCATTTTCTACAACAGGTATACATATCAAAACTCTATTATCAGAATCCAACAGTTAATTCCTTTAAAGGCTATGGAACCAAGAAAAATAAGGTATTAAAATCAGAAGTTCAATTAGAAAATTTAACATGAAAAAATCATAATTTTGAGAATAAGAGATTTAATTAGATTTAATTCTCTAAGATTTAATTAGAATTAATTCTGTACATGTTATTTAATTAAAACAATAGCATGTCAATTACAAAAAAGCATATGTAGTCAGTGTTCATAATAATCAGAAAATTAGTAGACTTAGTAATTTTTAAAATTTTATTCTCAACCTCATTTTTTATTCCTTTAATAAAAGACCTCTATGTTGCCTGAGGACTGCTAATATTTTTAAAGATTGTTTTCTGAGGTTGGAAAAAGGCTTAAATTTTGTTTACTCAAATTCAATTAAAATTTTATTTCTAAGTACTGTAGCACTTACAGACTTAGTTGTGAAGTCTTAAAAACTCAAATTTAACTCCTATATTTATTAGGCACATCATTTTCTACAGTATCTATTGATTTCAAGAAATCCTTATAGTGAAAATGAAATGTTGACAAACACACTCTCTGACACTGATGATCAATGTTGAACATCAGCTAATTGATACTCTTAGTCAGCAATAAATACATATGAGGATTTTTAAAACATCACAGCTACCAAAATAATGAGTGCATTTGACCTTTTTTTAGTTTGCATATACTTTATTTTCATTTCATTCTCACAAAAGTCTTATAAAATAAGTAGAACAGGTAGTTGAAAGTTGAGTTTACCAAATAAACAATCAAGATCCAGATAATTTAAATCCCTCTAGTCACAGGTAGTAAAGTGAGGAGTCCTATATTCAAACCTAGAGTTTCTAATAATGGGACCAGTTGGTCTCAGAGTATGGCACTCAACTAACAGAAGCTTTGTCACATCCCAAATCAGTGAAGTGTAATTTCTCCTTCGTCTGGTTGTCCGTGAAGCAGATTTACACAAATCATGTAATCATGTGGGCCCATGCATTAGTAATGGCCAAATCATTCTACCATTGTTTCTTTTTCTTTTTTTGTAAATATTTATTTTTTTGGTTATACTTGGACACAATATCTTTATTTAATTTATTTATTTATATGTGGTGCTGAGGATCGAACCGAGGGCTTCGCACATTCGAGGCGAGTGCTCTACCACTGTGACACAACCCCAGCCCCTCTACCATCGTTTCTAACCCCATAGTGTCTTTTTTTCAATTTTTTTTAAAGCTGTGTTTTTCTTTTTTTGGTAATCAGGTATTGAACTTTTAATTAATCATTCACATATACTATTGTAACACCAACGTATTGGAAAGGTAATCTGCAGCTTTAACAAAGCATGCTTTGAACAAACAAAATCCAAGTAACTTTTTATTTTTACATTTCTAAGTTATAATGACTGATGATATGCTTTGGAAGCTCCAGACACTACAAACAATACAAGGCTGTGGTATATTCTTTGTTTCTAATTGTGTCTCTTACTTTTTATGTAAAAGCTTAATATTTTGTTACTATTTTGTTTATTAAATTGGCCTCTGTTGTAAAGACAAATTTAATGTTAAGTGGTCTAGTTTGAAGTAAAGCTTTAATAACCATAGAAGTAATAATTAACAGTTTTATTCAAAACATTTTTATGTTAAATTGTTTGTTTTTGATTTGGGAGTACCTGCTTTGAGTGCATAGTGGGTACATTTTCAGGCATATCCAATTTACTTGCCTTTAAGACTTCTTCTACTTTAATACTTAATTTAGAAATGTCATTTAAAATGGTTCTTAAAGATCAAATGCACTCATACTGTCATGTGTAACTGATCAGAACAAAGAAGAATATATTTGAACAAATTAAAAAGCAGAAAGCAAGCTTACCAAAGTTCTGGGGCTGGTGTAAGTAGCAGATGCTCCTCTGCTGTCTGCATGTGTGGAAATTCTGGTTGGTGCGTGGGTCCTGGTCACAGGTGCTCGTGTCTTGAAGCCAACAGCAATCCTTGTGTGCACGCAGGCCTGTGTGTGAACACGGACAGCAGCTTCCACTGCGAGGATCCTGAGGGACATAGGGCACCTCGGTGGGAGAAGTACATCAACGAATGTCATTCAGAGCCCTGCCAGATATATGTTCCCCGTGATAAACAAAAACTAAATAATTTACAACTAGAATGCCCACACCACACAACATTCTCAACAAAATATTTCATGAGGATGAATTAAAAAAAAAAAAACAGGAAAGGGAGGCTCTACACTAAATAAATAGTCAACCAAACTAGAAACTAAGTCACATTAATAACCAGATATAATTCAAAAAGAGTGGGAACCCAGATCATTTCTCAATAATAAACTTGAATATTAACAGCCTGAACTCATCAATCAGAATATGCAGACTGGCAGATTCATTTCATGGGGAAAGACATCCACAGGCTGAGGGTGAAAAGATGGGAAAAAACATCACATTAATTGTGTAAACAAGCTGGTGTTTCCATGCTCATCTCAGATAAAGTAGACTTCAAGCCAAATTTAATTGGAAGAGACAAAGAAGGATATTTCATACTTCTTAAGAGAAGTATATATGAGGAGGACATAACAATTATAAACATTTGTGTCCCAAACAATGGACGTCTGCATGTATCAAACAAATCCTTCTCTATTTCAATAGTAAAATAGACCATAACACAATAATACTGGGTGACTTTAACACACCTCTCTCACTATTAGACAGTCATTCTAAACAAAAACTAAATGAAAAAACTATAGAGGGGCTTGGGTTGTGGCTCCATGGTACAGCACTTGCCTAGCATGTATGAGGAACTGGGATCAATTCTCAGCACAGCATATAAAATAAAATAAAATAAATAAAGTTCTAAGAAGTAAAAATAAATATTTTTTAAAAAGAAACCATACAATAATACAATCAATAATTTATACTTAATAGAAATATATAGAATATTGTATCCATTAACGAGTAAATATACTTTCTTTTCAGCAGCACTTGTCTTCTTCTCTAAAATAGACCATATCTTACACTGCAAAGCAATTCTTAGTAAATACAAAAAAAGCAAAGAAATTACCCTGCATTCTATCATATTAAAATGGAAGAAATTAGAAATCAGCGCTCAAGTAAAAAACAGAAGCTACTCTACCAAAGGGAGACTACATAATACATTAATTAATGAGGAATGGATAGTCAAATAAATCAAGGAAGAAATAAAAAAAAATTGTTAAAGGTAAATGAGAACGCTGATAAAACATATCAAAATCTCTGGGACACTAGGAAGGCAGTACTAAGAGGAAAGTTTACTGCACTGTGCACGAATAAAGGACCTAACACTACATCTCAAAGCCTGAGAAAAAGAAAAACAAATCAATACCAAAGGCAATAGAAAACAGAAACTAATGAAAATCAGGAAAGGCAGCAGAATACAACAGACACTAGTATGGAAGTATGTATAAACGTGGATGTATAACCAATGTGATTCTGCAATCTGTACACGTGGTAAAAATAAGAATTTATAACCCACTTGAATCAAATGTATGAAATATGATATGTCAAGATCATTGTAGTGTTTTGAGCAACAAATAAAAAAAATAAAATAAAATCAGAGTTGAAATCAATGAACTCTAAAGGAAAAAAAATGAAAAATTGACAAAACACAAAGTTGATTCTTTGAAACAATAAATAAAATACATAAACCCTTGGCCATGCTAACGAAGAGAAAAAGAAAACTAAGATTACTAAAAAAGAAGATGAAGCAGGTAATATCACAACAGACATGTCTAAAATGCTGAAGGAAATTAGAAACTACTTTGACAATTTGTACTCCAAAAAAATAGAAAATATAGAATACATAAACAAATTCCTAGAGTCATAAGACCTATTCAAACTGAATGAGGAGCTCATACACAATTTAAATAGATTAACTGCAAGTAATGAAATAGAAAACACCATCTAAAGCCTACCAACCAGTCTGGGGTTGTGTGGTAGAGTGCTTGCCTGGCATGTGTGAGGCACTGGGTTTGATTATCAGCATCACATAAAAAATAAACTAAAGGCATTGTGCCTATCTAAAACTAATGAAAATATATTAAAAAAGCCTACCAACCAAGAAAAGTCCAGGACCAGACATATTCTTTGCTAAATTCAACGAGACTTTCAAAGAAGAATTAATACCATACTCCTCATAGTATTCCATGAAACAGGAAAAGAGGGAAGCCTTCTAAACTCATTCTATGAGACTAACATCACCCTGATACCAAAACCAGACAAAGACCCTTTAAGAAAAGAAAACTTCAGACCAATATCCCTGATGAACATACATGTAAAAATTCTCAATAAAATTCTGACAAATTGCATACAAAAAATATTAAAAACATAGTTCACAATGATCAAGTGGGGTTCATCCCAAGCATCCAAGGTTGGTTTAACATGCAGAAATCAATAAATGTAAATCATCATATGACTAGATTAGAAAACGAGAATCATATGATCTCAATAGATGCAAAAAACAGCATGTGACAAAATACAGCACACTCTCATGTTCAAAACACGAGAAAAATTAGGAATAGTAGAAACATACCTCAACATTGTAAAAGCTATCTATGCTAAACCCAAGGCCAGCATCATTCTAAATGGAGAAAATTTGAAAGCATCCCCTCTAAACACTGGAACAAGACAAGGATGTCCTCTTTCACCACTTCTATTCAACATCATCCTTGAAACTCTAGCCAGAGCAATTGCAAGAAAGAAGTTAAAGGAATACAAGTAGGTATAGAAGAACCCAAACTATCCCTATTTGCTGATGACATGATTCTGTATCTAAAAGATCCAAAAAATTCCACGAGAAAACTTCTGAAACTACCAGACGAATTCAGCAAAGTGGAAGGATGTAAAATCACCACCCATAAATCAAATGCATTCTGATACATCAGTGATGAATCCACTGAATGAGAAATTAGGAAAACTACCCCATTCACAACAGCCTCAAAATAAAATAAAATAAAATACCTGGGAATCAATCAAACAGAAGAGGTGAAATGCCTCTATAATGAAAAGTAGAGAACATTAAAGAAAGTCAAGAAAACTCAGAAGATGGAAAGATCTCCCATGATCCTGGATAGGCACAATTATTATTGTCAAATGTGCTCTACTACCAAAAGCACTATATAGATTTAAAGCAATTTCTATTAAAATCCCAATGACATTCTTCATAGAAATATAAAAAACAACCATGAAATTTATTTGGAAAAATAAGAGACCCAGAATAGGCAAAGCAATCTTTAGCATGAAAAGTAAAGCAGGAGGCATCACCATACCAGATGTAAAACCATAGCACAGAGCTATAGTAACAAAAACAACATGGTATTGGCACCAAAACAGACTTGTAGACCAATGGTACAGAATAGAGGATGTTGGGGTTTTTAGCTTCTTCTATCCACTCCGTCCCACAGAGAGGCTTAGGAGAACAGGCCCCAAACTGGACGAATCAAGAAACGTGAGGGTCGGCAGGTCACCCACCCAGTCCTCCCCACTGGAGGACAATCAGAAGCACCAGGGAGACCAGTCAAAGCAGGATCTCATTTATTGAGGAAGTACACACAGGTAATATAATGTGCAGGAGCCAATCAGGATAAAGGTCAGAGGGGTGGAGCAAGTTCACATGTCATGCCCTACAAGAGGACACAGAGACAAACCCACATAAATACATTATCTCACACTAGACAAAGGTGCCAAAAACTTTCACTGGAGGAAAAAATAGCCTATTCAACCAATACTGCTGGCAAAACTGGGAATTCACATGCAGGAAAATGAAATTAAACCTCTCTCTCTCACACCATGCCCCCAAATCAACCCAAAGTGCATCTAAGACTTAGCCACTAGAACAGAGACCCTGTACCTAACAGAAGAAAAAGTAGAAACAAATCTTCACCATGTCAGCCTAGGATCAGACTTCCGTAACAAGACCCCTGAAGTGCAAGAAGTAAAATTAAGGATCAATAAATGGGATGGATTAAAATAAAAAAGATTCTTATCAGCAAAGGAAACAATAATGTGAGAAGAGAGCCTAGAGACTGGGAGAAAATCTTTACCACAGGTACCTCTCCAAAGCATTGATCTCTAGGATACAGAAAGAACTAAAAAAAACTTAACACCAAGAACACATATAACCCAATCAATAAAGGAGCTAAGGAAATGAATATACACTTCACAGAAGAAGAAATATAATCGATCAACAAATGTAAGAAAAAGTGTTCAACATCTCTAGCAATTAAAGAAATGCAAATCAAAACTACACTAAGATTCCATGTGGGGGGAAAGGTACACTCATACATTGCTGTTGGGACTGCAAACTGTATAACCACTATGGAAAGCAGTATGGAGAGTATTCTGAAAACATGGAATGGAACCACCATTTGACCCAGCTATCCCACTCCTCGCTTTATACCCAAAGGACATAAAATCAGCATACTGCAGTAATGCAGCCACATCAACGTTTACAGAAGCTCAATTCAAAATAGCTAGATGTCCTTCAATAGATGAATGGATAAAGAAAATCTGAGATAGATATTCAATGGAATATTACTCAGCTTTAAAGAAGAATGAAATTATGGCATTTGCCAGTTCATGGATGGAGTTGGAGAATATCATGATAAGAGAAAGAAGTCAATCCCCATAAACCAAAGGCAAAATGGTTTCTGGAATATGTGCATTTTAATTCAAAATAAGGGGAGGGCAGGGAACTAGAGAAGAATGGAGTTACCTTGTATTTGGCAGAGGGAAGTGAAGGGAGGGGAGGGAACATGAGGATAGGAAGGATAACAGAAGAAAACAGACATTACTACTTGATGTATATATGACTGAAAGACCAATGTGATCCTACAACATGCATACTCAGAAAAATGAGAAATTATATCCCATCTATAAATGATAACCAAAGGGCATGAATGCATTCCACTGTCATGTATACCTAATTAAAACAAATTAAAAATTTTAAAAAAGAGACTCTGTGGAAAAGCAAACTCTCCTGCTGCCCCAGTTTTGTAAAATCTGTCACATTCCATTAATGGAAATGGATCTAACTTGCAGCACATGCTCTGTGGTACTCTGGACCTCTTCTGTGGAGACAGTCACCATTTGACCCAGCTATCCCACTCCTTGGTTTATAACCAAAGGACATAAAATCAGCATACTGCAGTAATGCAGCCACATCAACGTTTACAGAAGCTCAATTCAAAATAGCTAGATGTCCTTCAATAGATGAATGGATAAAGAAAATCTGAGAATCTTGAATGCTGAGAGGCCCAGCTAACACTGCTGAAGTGACTGCTGAGGTGGCTGCTCTGGCTGATGAAGGATGCCAGCTTCTGTAGATATGGATGGTGCCCCGATTTTGACCTACACCCTCAATGTAGGACCAGCTCTCGCTCAGCTAGCATTTAGGAACACAGAGTGGGGACCCTTTGGGTCTGTCACTGTCTGCAAAGTATGCACTGACTAAGGAGCAAGGTACAGTCTTTTTGCACATGAGGTGCACAGAATGAAAATGGCATGATATTGGCAGCAAAACACATACAGAGACCAATGGTACACAAGAAAGGACACAGAGACAATTTGACAAAAATACAGTTATCTCACACTAGAAAAAGGCACCCAAAATATACACTGGAGAAAAGACAGCCTCATAAACAAGTGGTGCTGGGAAAACTGGAAATCCATACCTACCAAAAAGAAATAAAAAGCCTCTCTCTCATCATGCATAAAAATCAACTCGAAGCGGATCAAAGGTGGAGGCACTAGGTCAGAGACCCTGGGCCTGATCCTAGTACATGTAGGCCCATATTTCCACCATGTCGGCTTAGGAACACACTTTGTTACTCGGACTCCTAAAGTACAAGAAGTGAAACCAAGAATGGATAAATGGGATGGATTCAAACTACAAAGCTTCTTCACAGCAAAGGATACAATCAAGAACGTGAAGAGAGAGCCTACACAACTGGAAAAAAATCTTTACCACATGTACCTCAGATCAAGCATTATTCTCCAGAATACATTAAGAACTCAAGAAACCTAACATTCCTCCATATATCTGGTTTGGTGCCAGTACTGTTTCTAATTCATTCACTATGCTCTTACCCCTTGCATCCCCACTCCCTTCACTCACTTGTGCTTTCTTAGGACTCTCCATAAAGCTTTCTATAGTGCTTGCACAAATGTGCAGTCCCACCAGCAATGTATGTGAGTACCTTTTCCCCCACATCCTCACCACCATTTACTGTCGCTTATATCCTTGACAACTGCCATTCTGACTGGAGAGAGATGGAATCTCAGTGTCATTTTGATTTGCATTTCTATAATGGATACAGATATTGTACGTTTTTAAATTCATATGTTGATCTATTGGGTTTCTTCTTCTGTGAAGTGTCTTTTCATTCCTTTCCAATTTGTTGATTTTTTTGTCTTGGGTGTGGCTGACTTTCAAGTGTAGAATTTTCTGTTACTAAAAACAAATTAACAGCTTTCTCACCACACGTCCAAGACTAGTTATGATAAAGATATAGGGACTTGCTAAGGGGATCCATTCTAGATCTGAATAAGATAATTGTCTGTAGAACGATTTCTCAAATCAGAGCCAAAAGACAATATAATAATTCTGTTAAACTAAGAAATGTCATAATGCCATTTTTAAGTAGTTGGCCAACTCTGTGTTAGTTTTTATGATGTTGGAAATATACCTTCTTTGGCACATCAATTCCATTCACCAGTTCAGAAAGTGAGTTTAAGCAAAACCAATTAAGAGATCAGTGAAGCTATCGGATATTTTTGGGCACTGATTAAGCATAACTATCATTTAAGTAGATGATATTTAAAATGCTTACTAACAAATTACAGCATTGGAGGCATATTAAAAACAATTTAACTTTAAAAATGAGTACCTAAAAGAATAAGAAAACGCAGTTGCAGGTGCCCTCTGCTCTTTTTTGTAATACAAAGAACTTTGAACTTCTCAATGCAAGAAATTTGAAACAAATAACAGTATCAGAGTTTATATTTTCTACAAGGACTAGAATTGTCAGAGAAATACCTGGATTTTTAATAGAAAAAATAAGGTTAAAGATTGGGCAGGGGAGTGGGTGTTCTTGGAACGAGTTGTTAGCAGGTAATTCTACCTCACTTACCTTTAAGAGATATCAGAAGGAACCACTCTACATTTTCTAATCCTTATGTGCATTCTAATGTATGTGATTTTGTTTCTCATCCTTCCTTCCTCTCCAGATTATTTCTATCTTCTGAAAAACAGCAAAACGAATGAAATGAAAATGTTCTCTGTGGTTTACATAGACAGCAGAAACGGAAAAAGGGTCATATCTATGTGGCATTTTGCAGCCAACAGAGGGAAAGTCAAACCCCCATAAAAGGTGGGGTGAGGGGCTGCTAAGAAGTCAACAGGCAGAATTCTATCAGATTTAGTCACTATCAAGCTCTCATATTACCTGACATGAGATAAAATATTGCATGCGCCCAGGTGCAGGGAGGGATTCAAGTACTAAGGGACAAAAAGACTGACCTGATACCTCCAGAGCTCTCCAATGTCATCAGTCCTTTCAAAGCAAACAGGTTTTCCAAGACTTCATCCAGGCAGCCATTGACAAAACAGAGCCAACAGGCTCCACCCAATCACAGAGATTCTTTTCTTGTTCATGGTCTTCAAGGATCTTCACCTGGCTAGGGCAATGTCACTTTTCCTAAAGAAAGAACAAGAAACAGAAAGTACAAATCTGTCAACACTTCTTAAGAATGACAGCTGCCGTGACACTCAAATAAATGCTGTTAACAAGAGCTGACTGGGGAAGCCAGATGCGGCTGCCCGCTTTAGAAGAAATCCTCTGCACAGGATGGGGAAGCCCTGTGCCTACAAGACCCAGAGCTGAGGAGCACCCTGGTGTCATCTTACTCTCTTTCTAGAAGCACCCATCTGATCCTTCAGCTGCAATATGGAAGTTACTCTGACTTTCTGCCGTAATAAAAGATAGATAAACTACAAAATATAAACAAAGACCCAGGCTTTGTAAGCTTAGGGTATGAGATGGCTTGGGGTTCTCATCAACACAGTGGAAGTGGACGGTAACAGAGAGTTCCTAGGGTTTCAATGTAGGCTGAATCATGAGGAACATTTTGGGTTCGTGTAATTTTATTATTGAGATAACCTACTCCCTATGTGAAAATCTCTCAAAAAGTTAAATTCCAGCATTTGTAAACTCAAAAGCTCCAGGAACTAGCAAGGTGGATTATATAAAAGTTTTCAGGCAGGACAGAGAACAAAAGGTAAAACTGCTGTGACTAATTTGCAAAAGTATTCAATTACAAAGTAAAATTTTAAAAAAACCTGGGCACAGTGGCACATGCTTGTTATCACAGCTACTAAAGAAGCTAAGGCAGCAAGATCATGAATTTAAGCCCAGCTCTTGCAAATTAAACACATTAACCCCTACTCAATAAAGTAGAATAAAATAATATATAAAGGGATGAGGATGTAGCTCAGTAAGAGAGTGCTTTCCTAATATGTGCAAGATCTTGAGTTCAATCCCAGTAAGTATCACAAATGAACAAAAAAGGAAAACAAGAACTGCCCTGTCAAACAAGACACATAGGCAAATTTCAGTGCAGAGCCATCTATGGATCTCTGACCTGTGTCCTCAAAGATTTATTTGAAAATATTTTATTGTGTGACCTTACCTTTAGTATTGAAAGGGAATGACAATTCTCAGAGGTGACTGGGCAACAGTGCTGTAAAACACTTCTTGCTATACTTGAATGTACACTCTCCTTGGTATATCTTCTCAGGCTCTTGGGTTCTCTGGGTTTTACATTTATTAGGTAAATTTAATGCCTCAGAAATATAATTATATCATAGTCAAATGTAGTTTTTCGTTCTTGGAAAATAAAAACCCAAATTGCTTTCAACTCAGTGGAGGGCACTGACTTAATCCTAATCTTAGCCCAAAGGTTTAAGTTTATGTATGCAAGTAGAGTTCACTACACATTTTCCCTTATGGTCACATCTTTTACTCAAGCTTCATATCTGACTCAGTAGATGCTGCCAGCTAGTATTCTATTGTAACCCAGTAAACCAAGATATAGTGGATACCACACACAATCTGTTCACTAACCTGTCCTTCAATCATGCTTATTTGGGTTGGGGTTGAAGATGCTAAGAACTATCAAAGGCATGATTTGATTACTGTTAATGTTACTGGGTTGCTGTTGTTAGAGGACTTACCCTTTTGTAGAGGAATAAAACAGAATTAATGAAAGCATCATGATTGTATGACCTAAGCAAGGAATGAAAAAAGAGTTGTGCTAGACTTCATTCTGGAAGTTAATGCTGACTCACTAGAAAATATTGAACTAGTTTCCTAAATGTTCTGTGTCTTAGTTTGCTCATTGTTAAATGTTCTCTCATTTTTCCCCAAGGTTTTAACAATCACAGGTCCTAGATTTTCAAAATGCTCCAAAAGGCCCTCAAACACTTAACAATACTTTTTTGTTTGTTTGTTTTGGTACTGAGGATTGAATTCAGGGGAGCTCAATCACTGACTCACATCCCCAGTGTTTTTTGTTTGTTTGTTGTTGTTTTGTTTTTGTTTTTTTGAGGAGCCTCATACTATTTCCATAACTGCTCTACTAATTTACATAAGCATAAGCATATTAATCATTTAAGGAATATTTGTCTACATCTGATAATTTACTTTCTTCAAGGCTGAAGACATCAAGGTCAGAAAAACTAAGATATCTTCTACAGACCGATTTCTTTTACTATGTCCTGTTCCAGGAACCTGGAGTGGTGCCCAGAAGTCTTCAGTCTTTACCCTACTTTTAGCACAGTCAGTCTTGGAGGCAGATCAACCCTGAAGAGATTGCCTTCTCTCAGCAGAAGCAATATAGGCCCATGGGAACTGAATGGGACATCCCAGAATCACAGATCTAATAGATAAGTATCCTATGAAGCAAGTGGAAATTGCCCCTTGATCAGCTGGCAATTTCCTCAACACCAATAACATGTGGTATGATCAGAATTCAAAAAAATCATAAAACACACCACAGTTTGACCAAGACTGCTTATTACACATACTTCTTGTTTCCCACCCCCGTTCTTCCTCTGAAGGTAAAACTCACATCAGTTTCCTGAAAGACAGAATTGAGACACTTGACATCACTTGTCTTCCGAATATAGGTACAATGATTATTAAAGTTTATTTCCTTCTTTCCCCATTGTATTCTCCATTTGGTTTTTGGGGCAAGTGGTCAATTCTGATTTTTGTGGACCCACAGAGTTAGGCCTCTAGCCTAGGACTTAGGTAACAGGAAAGGTGCTGGGCAAAATCAATGAAGCCCTATGATGTGACACTGTTCTACTGTCTTAGCATTGATCTTAGCATTGCACTGCCTTAGCAGTGATCACTACCTGATTGTTATCTATTGCCTATCTTTTTCTTTTAAAATATAAGCTCCATGAGATTAGAAGCCTCTATCTGCAGTAGCGTAAGGAGTGATTGGCACATAAAGTAGGTGGCTCAATCAGTATTCATGAAGACTCAAAACACAATATTAGCTTCATAAAAACACGCTTTGTTGGAGTTTCTATGAAAAAAACAACCCAAACTCAATTTTTTTGTAGTTCAGAATGAATTCACTGAAGGGGGGCACACTTCTAAAATGGAAGCACCAGGATTAACTTACATGGAAATAATATTCTGATGATGTTACTTAGAAAATAATACAACTTCTGTTCTCTGTTTTGCTGATTACCATTCTAAGTTCCCGCATACATGACCTACTAATAAAGTTGTTGTGTTATATAAGAAAATATGTATAGACTCCTTAGGGTAGCACATAGAAATACAAAGTAAATGCTTCTATTTTGTTATTATTATAATATTTGTGTTAGTGGTATACTACATCATGAAATCACTCAAAACTGACGTTGAGTCACCCTTAACACATTGGTTCCACCTACTCCCCATAGTTTCCTTGAAACATCCTTGGGGGCATTCAGTCTTTGGTCATTTCAACTCACTAATATTCAGAGGCTTTCACTTGGCCTACAGCTAACAGGGAAAGGTCAGGGGATTTCAGGGTCTAACCCAATTCATCACTAGAGTCAACAGAATTGAGCTGACTCCTGAGAACAGAGTAGCCATTCCAGGACTCCACCCAAGAATTCCCAGACTCACCTGGAGGATGACACCCAGCTGCAGCTCCCAGCAGAAGTCCTCTCAGCAGGCGCCCCCTAGCAGCTGCGTGGCACTCCCAGGATCCTGCGCTGAGCTCCCAGGGTCCTCCATGGCGCTGCCACCGTCCTCTGCAGCATACAGGAGAGGCTGTGTACCCAGGCTGCGCGGGGCGGAGGCTCTCGCAGCCACAGGGAGGGCGACCTGTTGGGCTTCTTACCAGCTCTCCAGGTGAGCGGCAGACCCTCAGAGGTACGGACGCCGGCACAGGAACAGGACTCACAGCAGTAGGGCTTGAAAAGTGAGAAGTCACCTGGTGAAGGACCGCCCAGAAGCCAACTCGTGGGAACTGCCCTTTGGGGCGGGTCTTGAGGGCTGTCTTCCCCGCAGGCGCCTGGGCCTTCCGGGGTCCTGGAGAGTGCGGAGCACGTGCGTGTGCGTGGAGGGCGGAGCTAGGCCTGGGCCACATCCGGGGTAGGCAGGCAGGTGGGCGGGGAAACTTGCAAATTTGGGCGGGAAGCACAAGGCTTCAGAACCAGCAGGGTGTGATGCCCCAGGGTGTGCGATGGCACTTTTAAGTTCCCATCCTTTGCAGGCCTCGCCCCCGTGGTTTTATCAGTTGCTTCAGTCAAACTCTGAAAACTCATCTCCCCCTTTGGATTTCTTCTTCGTTGACTGTGTATGCGCAGTTGGTGGTTTGTCACTGGTTAATTCTCCCTCAAAGGTGTGTTTTGACAAATGCAAATAAGCAGATGTCTGTGTGTTCATTACCACGTGTGGTCGATTTTAGGTCCATCTGCCCTCCTCTGGGGTCTTCTAAGTCTGGACAGTGCTAGGAGCGACCCTCTGCGCCCACCCTCCACTCAGCGTCTCCCAGCCTCCTCCATCTTATCTATCAGACACAGAAGGTAGTGGTGCAGCAACTGAGTGACAGAATCGCGCTTAATAATAATATCTTTGGAGCTGGGGTTGTGGCTCAGTGGTAGAGCGCTTGCCTGGCATGTGTGAGGCACTGTGTTCGATTCTCAGCACCAAGATACAGGCCCATTAAAAAAAATATTTTAAAAAATAATAATATAGTCATTTATTTATCATTTTATTGAAATGCTAGTGAGAGCATACTGTTGGGTGTTGGACACAAAACAAATATGGGCCCTGTCCACCGAGTTTCTAGACTAGTGAGCCAGTGCTTTTCAAAGTATAAAATCAAGCATTCATTAAGCTCATACTTATGTGGTAAATACCAGGGAAGTGTGAGGTTTTCTTGTTCTCTGAAGGAAACAAAAGTTGCAGTTCTGTGTTTCCCTTAGAAGAGTGATGGGACGCAGAGGAATGGAGAGGGTGAATATATGAAGAGTACAAGTCTGGAAGAGTGGATATCCAATCTAAGTATGAATTTATGTACTAGCCTTTGTGTGTTCAGCATATCTCGACTGATGTTGATATGTTTAATTGCATGCTTGTCAACAGTGTGTTCACATTGATATTCAGCTGCAGATAATCTATCAGGAAAAACCTACAGGTGGACATGAGTTATTTTAGGGAAAATAAGTAGACAATAGGTTTCAAGTTTGAGAGGATGGGATCAGATGAGCAAAAGCAGAAGTGGGGGTGTTTGTAAACTTGTATGAAAGTAGCCATTTTTAAATTTGTGAATGCACAAATAAATATGCATATATAATATATATGCAAATATATTTGTGACAATTGAATATATAGGTCTTATTACACGTGTATATTCACAATTTTATGTATGCTTTATATTAATGTAGATTCAGGTATACAGTTATATTTAGGTTTAGTGTTAAATTTTCTGTAGGGTAAGGGTTAGGGTTAGTAAAAAAATGCATATGGAAAACCAAGAATACTAATTAGAATAACCCATGAATACATGTATGAAAATATAAATAAATATGTTTTGAAAAAGGGAAGGTTTTATTTTTTATTATTTAAAAAAAACTTTAGTTGTTGATAGACCTTTATTTTATTTATGTATATACAGTGCCGAGAATCGAACCCAGTGCCTCACACATGCCAGTAAAGTGCACTACCATTGAGCCACAGTAACAGCCCTGAACTGAGAAAGGTTTTAATGTGACACATATGAATACAGATTTTTAAAACTAGGACTGCACAGATTAATTATATATATATGAATATATACTCATACATATTCAAATATACAATTGATAATTGTATACATAACTATTTACAAATGGATATTAAAATCTATATATGCATTTATTTTAAGGTAGGTTTAGGTATGCAAATAAATATATGGTTAGTATTGATTTCAAATTTTTGTGTACATTTAGGTTGATTTTTAAGGAATAAATATATTCATTGAAAACATGAATATACCTAGGAATGTACATAGTAACATTTGCATAAAAAATAATATAAATATATGTTTTGAAATGGGGAAGGGTTAATATGAGACAAAAATACAAATTTTTAATATGCAAATTCAAAGATAAATTTTATATATGAAATATAATAACACTTCTGCAAATATAACATTGATGTGTATGTAAGTATAAATATATATGCATATTCATATAAGGATATATGCTTTTATCTGAATGTAGGTTAGTTACAGGGGTAAAACTATGGTTAGTACTAAATTTGGTATATAGTTAGGGAATAAATATTTATACTGAAAAATATGAATGTTTTAAGAAAGTGCATGTGCAATTTTGACGTTTTGAAACTGGGAAGGGTTTAATGTGAGATGTAGGAAGACACATTTTTAATTTGTGAAAGCAAATATATATATATGCAAATATACCATTGATAACTGAATGCAAGTCAAAATACAAATAAACATTAGGAAAAGAATAGGTATATTGAAAAACATGAATAATCATAAGAATATACATGTAAAAATTTGCAATACACAGAAATATATGTGTTTTGAAATAGGAAAAGGTGTGAGATGTATAAATACACATTTATTAACTTCCAAATGCACAGATAAATTACATGTGAACATATATAAATACTTATGTATATGATTATCAATTGCATATTTGAATATAAGTATGTGAGAATATTCATATTACTATATATGCTTTTGTATTAATGTAGGTTTAGGAATGGGGTAAATTTAGGGTTACTATTAAATATTGTGTAGTGTAAGGGTTAGAGTTAGGGTATGAATATATATATATATATATCAAAAAACATGAATATTCAAAAATATGCATGTGAAAATACGTATAAAACATATACAAAAAATAAACAGGGACCTATTAAAAAAACATTATATGGAGAAATGTTGACAATAACTAAAGGAAATCAACTGCCTTATATACAGTTGGAAACACTGTCTATAATTAATAGGAAAAGTACAAGGGGAAAAAAGTTTATCTCAGGTATTTTGAAGCAGTGAAGGCAAGATAACAAATGCAATCATAAAGCAAGACTCAAAATTTCCTCAAGGATTTATTGAGAATAGATAATTTGAACATAAAATTAAATTTTCAGTCAACAATAAAAAAATAATTCAAAGGTCACCAGAAGTTTCAAATAAAGCAAAGACTTTTTATAAAAAAAAATATATATATATATATATATATATATATATATATATATATATGGTAAAGAAAAGCATTATAAGGAAAATTGGAAATGCTTTTGAGCTGACAGATAACAAAGATTCAACAAACCAAAAGCAATAGAAGGCCGATGAAGTAGTTCATAAAGAAGTGCTTCTAATTCCACCTGCTTACATTAGAAAAAGACACAGGGATAAAATCGGTGTTGACTCTGATCATGCAACTTGAGAAGCACTAATAATAATTCATTTCTAATAATAATTAAGAATTTGCTTAGAGTAGATTCGTACATGGAGTCCAGGGCCAGTGGATGTTGCATATACCAATGTGCGATCACAAAGAGTATAGCACCATAGCAGGCAAATGTGCAAGTGGCCAGGAGCTGAATGGAGTCTTGAAGATGTGCACAGGTCAGCTGAAGATCTTGACTTTGTTGTCACTGAGAGGCAGGATGGGGTAGGAAGAGAAAGGAAGGGAAAGGACTATTTCTTAGTTATTCATGCTATCAAACTTCCTCCAAGAAAAAGTGGAGGCAGTGCACAGAGCTCTGGCAGTGCTGGGGTAAGAACGGCAATGAGCAGGCTGCAGCCCAAGGTGCAGGAGCAGCAAAACACGTTTGAGGCAATGACAGGGGTGAGCCAGTGCTTCTCTGCCTTCAACACACACTTGCACTGCCACCCCCTTGTCAGAGCACAGCATGTGCAAGGCACCTGAGGCTGCTAGAGCTGCTATGTAACCTGAAGGCTGCAGGAGGAAGAGGACCCAATAGGGGTCTGGCCGCCCAAGCCTCTGGGGACCAAGTTGGCGGTCACTTCTGAAGGCTCCCTCTCTAGCCCTTCTTTGCCCATTCCTGTTGCCTGGCTGGCCTGGGTGACTATCTATCGCCCCAGTTCCTACACTCCATGGTGACGATTGATTAACTGGGAGAGATGGACTGCAGTGTGCTCAAAAAGCCTATGAAGCTGAGCGAGAACCCCTAAGGCAGAGACTGTAGCTGTGGCAGCGGCAGAAGCAAAGAGGTTGGGAGGTGGTGGTTGCCCTGGGTTGCGGGGCTGGGTGCAGACTGCAGTGCCTGGCGGCAGCTGGGCTGACAACAGTGGCAGCCCCCGAACTCTGGGGCTGGGGAGTGCCAGCAAGCGCTTGCTGCTCGACTTTTTGCACACCTTTCCTATCAGAGGTTCTGTCCACCTTCTTTGATACAACACCCAGGAAAATAGGTAGGCCAAGGGCTCCAAGATCCTGGAGTCCATCCTGCACGCTCAGGGGGAAGTGCTCCCTCTTGTGCTCTAGCCTCTACTTGGCTGTCATCCTCTACTTTGAGTGGAGCCCAGGTGCCAGGGGCTCAGGGAGGACCTCACCTTGACTCTAGTAGTGCAGACACTCCATCCTAAGCCCCAGTGAAGCGACATCCGCTTGCTGAAACGTGGCTGTGAGAAGTTTTTCTTTGCTTACCCAGAATTCTGTTCCAAAACCAGCGCCCCGGCAGACTTCTCCCCAGTGCCATGGAGTCCTTTCACCTGCATTGCAGCTCCACTGGAGCCGCTCTGCACAGGCGGCGGGGTCCCTTGGAGATTCTTCAGTTCCTCTACTTCCATGGTGCCTTCCACGCTGCCTGGAGAGACATGCTGAACGCCCTAGGGATCACAGCCCTGTTGAATGTCTCCTCCAAATGCCCAAACCACATGGAAGGATGCTACCAGTACAAACACATCTGGTGGAAGACAACCACAATTCCGACATGGGCTCCTGGTTCATGGAAGCCATGGAGTAGGACTGTGCGGTGAAGGACTGCCGTGGTCCAGGGATGGCGCACTGCTAGGAGGGCATCGTGTGCTC